CCACTGCATGGTGGGGGCCAGGGCTGGGGCCCCTGTATAGGATAAGCAAGAGCTGAGGTGTGAGGGAAAGGGCACATGGTAGGGAGGCAAGTGTTAGGTCACCTGCCCCTCCACTGCTGTTTTCCCAGGTGCTGCCTCCCCCCCCCCCCCAATTCCGTACTGCAGCAGTGAGGGGGATGAATTTAAGACAACTCTCTAATAATTAGATTCTATTCATGGAAAATTATAACAAAGTTATAGAATCTAATTATGGAGGGGTCTTCTTAAATGCAAAATCATCTTAGATGCAGGTAAATATGATTGTTGGCTACAAAGGACCAACTCATGGGATCATAATTAATTCTAGTCTATTGGACGGGATGTGAGGTTACCAATAAAATCATAAATGCAAACTTTGAGTTATGGGTGGTACTGGTCACCTTAGCACATACACACACACATGCACTCACTCATTCAAACCCATGTCATTCTAACCCATGTAGTATACTGTATAGTAGCTGCTGTACTGATTGTGAGAGCACTGGTGTCAGTATATCTACCTATCCAAGGCCCTGGAGTTTGCTGCTGATGGTCAGCTTCTTTCAAGGTGATGTAATCTCCAGAAGGGGGTCTCCTGCTTGTCCTTCTGTCTCGGTAGGTCAGGTGCTGGATGAGAGGGTGCCACTGAGGATCACGCTTCACTGCCTTTTATCCCTTTTTGGCAGACTTGTGTGATCCCCCAGCATCATCTTGGCTAGCCAATTCCGGAGGTCGCTGTTGCAAGTGGGTCTTGAGTAGTACCTGACAGCTGTTAGTCACAGGGGTCTCTGCCTGCTGGTACTTGAAGTTTCAGGAGTCCACCCTTGACTTATTGACTTAATGGCTGTATTGTCATGGGTTACAGGAATAGTCCATAGGGTGAGTACTCAGTTCCAGGAATCAGTTCTTTAGCTTGATTAGCTTAAAATGGAGTTCCTTTGGCTAGGCTATTGCCTACTGATGATCATCATTCACTTGCATTCACTCAACAGATTTTATCACTTTACAATTACAATTTCAATGCAGTTTTAACAATGGTCCAGGGTGTAATGTCATTCTACAGGGAATACTTTCATTAAGGGTTTAAAAGTATAAAATATAAAATACAAAATGCCATGGTAAAAACAAGACAGATGAAATATGAAAATGCAGTGGGAAATATATAAAAATGCAATGTGAGGTAGTGAGGATCAAAGGTTACTGGGGACAGTAAGTGAGTTAAGTTAGCACAGGATATATTTACAGTCTTTGAAGTGGATATTTTAGTTCTTTTGTTTTCTTTAGTGACACTGAGCTTAATTGATATGTACATGTAGTTTCTAGGTTTCTCCAGCAGAAAGCCACTTCAGCTTTCTGGCTTGCTCTTAGCCTTGCCACATCCATGCAATGAGTGTGCTAGGTCTCTGCCAATACTTAGAAAGAAAAGAAATGCACAAAATTGGCAGGTGCAGGCAAGAAGGGGCTTGTTATATCCATGTCCAGAAGGGAAATGTACAAAGGGGGCTACATGATAATAACAAAAAATGGATAGTCATTCAGAGTGGCTGCCTGGTAGCCTAGCCCCACTCAAGCAAAGTGTATTTTAATATAGCCAAATGTAAGGCCATATATTTCATAAAGAATTTAGCCCGTACCTACAGAATGAGCATCTCACATCAACGACTCTGAAAAGAACCGGGATGTCGTAATGTACAAATAAAGTCAACAGGAGCTTCTGCTGTGATGCTATGGCAAAAAAGGGCTAAAATATTCATTGAATATACAAATGAGAATAATAAGTAGGAGCAGAGAAGTGGTTTTACTTCTGTATATGGCATGGTGAGCCTGATAACTGAAATCTGCATCCAGTACTTATACCAATGTTTTAAAAAGGATGTTGAAATCTTGGAAAGCAATAACACCAGTGTGTGAAATGTAAAATCAGATACATTCACAATGACAATGAGGCATATATTTTTAACAGTGTGGGTAAGTAACCATGGGAACTAACCATGGAACTGGTGAATTCTCCATCTCTTGGGGTCTTCTAATAAAGACCGGCTGTCTAGAAGGCATGCTTTGCTCAATCACAAATTATGGGGCTCTATACTCAGGTAACCCTGCAGGATTCTACAGCCTTCAAAAATAGATTTGATGATCTAATGATCTCCTCTGTCCTTAAAATGGACTCCTCTAGATTTCATTTCCCTGTTACACAAAGGTTGGTTAAGCAAACATCACTATGTAAGGAGGGTCAACCCCCTTAAAGTTAAGGCTACCTCCATCAATGGTGAATTCTTTATCGTGCTAATGATAATTTTACCCACACAGTTTACATTCCAATGTTTTAGATTTAATTTTGTCTACTTTTATTTTGTCTAATTTGTCTATTTTACAGTCTATTTTTATTTTGACACTTTGAAGGCATGTTCTGGAAGATATTAAGCATTGTGAGTTCCACCTTAAAAAGGCACTATGTATATTGCACGTACCTCTGCCAACAGGGAGGGCTTCTGCATTACAACACTGGTCAATGAGTTGGTGGCAATGTTCCACCATGGACTCCAGCTGGGCTTTGTCGTAAGAAACTCCCAAGAACCTCACCAGCTGCTCAACCATTGTCGCTAGGTCCTATAAGAGAATGTTTAAAACCCATTTAAAAAGTTAGGAGATGCCAAGATTAAACGTAAAAATGCAAATGAATTTGTTGAACTAAGTTGCTGGGTGTTTGGTTGTAGCCATGTTGGTTTAAGAACATAGGCAGGCAATGTTCTTTGGGAAGATATGACCTCTTTTATTAGACCAACTGAGTAGCTGGGAAAAAGTTCTTAGCAAGCTTTCAGGTACAGTCACCCTTTGTCAGGCATGGGGATTCTCTGCTGGTCTGAGACTCCAAGGAATGAGAGAAGCTAAGTGTTGAGGGATGTCACAGTTTTACTGACATCCCTCCACACTTTTAGCTTCTCTCATTCCTTGGAGTCTCAGACCAGCAGAGACTCTGTATGCCTGAAGACGGGTGACTGCACCCGAAAACTTGCTAAGAACTTTTTTCCAACTACTCAGTTGGTCTAATAAAAGTATCACATCTACCCAAAGAACCTTGCCGGCCTTGAACTATGTTGAACATTACAGAATAGCAGAACAGCATTTTGAGCTGTTCCTGAATGGAAAAATGTGATTCCTCAAATTCTCATATATATGAAAATAAGGAAATACAAAGATAAGGACCCACCACATACTCTTCACAGGACTATCAGAATTGTCATTAAGAAACAAAAACCCTACAAATACTAGAAGACAGGGAAGTGCAAAGTTAAGGTGTCACTTCCCATCTTAAACGACACCCCAGCATTAACTCTGTCCACCTTGCAATGCCAGCATCTTGTTTGGGGAGTAGAAGATATGTATGTCTATAATCTTTGAAAAGTAGAAGAAAGTAAAATTAAAACCATGCCTCCCACCCCATATTATTGTTGGCCTTCTTAATTGGATTTGTGTAGCTGGAGATTAAGAGAACACCTCGATGTGATCTTGTAGATCAGTAGTAATAGCATCAAGGATTAATGAGGCTCCCCGTTTTGGAGAACCTTACTGAGCTGTATGGACAGGATTTCCATAGTTATACTGGGATTATCAGGAAGCACCAAGTTATTATAATGTTCGCTGTTCTGGCTGACATCCCTAAAGAGGCAGAATTAAGACTGGGGTTGTTTAATGTGAGAGGCTGAAACTTATTCTGTAAGTGACCCATTAAATTTTGTTTGTTAGTTTTTGTAATTCCATTGCAGGTACCTTTATTATACAATTTTCTAATTCCCTAAATTATAATCACTACCTATACCAGATAACAGAGAATTCCTTATAATATCTGACTTGCCTTATGCATATCTTCATACTTGAGGAAAAGTACATTGGAATCCATGTGGTGTTCCCAGAATTCTTGTACATGCTCAAACCATGAACCATATCCTACTGCAGAGACAGAGGATATTATGACTGACAAAAAGAATACGAGCAATTCTACTGTGAATATCTTTTGAAAAGAAACACATAAGGAAAACAAGCATTTTATACTTCCAAGAAAAATTTGGCTTACTTGCAAGCATTGAGGAAGTGACCTTACACATCCAAATATTGTTCTGGAAACAACAGTGAAAGTCAAAAGTGAAAATCTATATCCACGGTTAAATATTTCCCCACCCCAAAGAGCACAAAACTACTCTTTCTGTTAATTTTAGATGGTCTAGGAGTCCTTATGCTCATCCTTAGGAGTGGCAGCAACTTGCCTGAAACATGACCTCTTATAACTCGTGTAAATCCTGAACAGAAACATTGACTTTGGTCTGTTTACACCAGTGTACAGAAGATCAGATGGTGATCCTTGTTATCTAGATACACTAAGGAAAGAAATACATTTTTCAGCCAAAAGAAAGTGTATTCCGACACATGAGAAAATGTGTTTAGGTAAACAACCCAGCAAAAAATGCATGCTGAATATCTGAGTTTTTAGTTATAGCTGTGCTGGTCTAAGGACATAGGCAGGCAAGGTTCTTTGCTTAGATGTGATATCTTTTATTAGACCAACTGAGTAGTTGGAAAAAAGTTCTTAGTAAGCTTTCAGGCCCATTCACCCTTCTTCAGACATAGGAAGTCTCTGCTGGTCCATTTTATTTATAGCCTCCTGTTTACCTTATTATTACCAATGTAGTGTTTTCCCTTTGGACTTTTTAGTCCCCTGTTTTTCTTTACCCTCCCTTTCCTGCTTTACCTTTTGTTTTTCTAATTTCTGCCCTTTTATATTTTCACTGACATCCTGACATGTTTTTAGCTTCTCTCATTCTTGCTTTCCTGATCTCCAACTATTCCCTTTTTCACAGACAGCCTCTTCTCCACCTTGTATTTTCACTGTTGTCTACCTCTGACCCTTTTTTCCCCTCTTTCCCCCTGCTCTCTTTCCCCTCCCCTCCCCTACTTTCTCTTTTGTCTTGCTTATCTCTACCTATTTACATTTTCACTGACATCGTACCACACTTCTAGCTTCTCTCATTCCTTGGAGTCTCAGACCAGCAGAGACTACCTAAGCCTGAGGAAGGGTGACTGAGCATGCAAGCTTACCAAGAACTTTTTTTCCAGCTATTCAGTTGGTGTAACAAAAGCATCACATCTAACGAAATAACCTTGCCTGTCTATGTTGAATATCTGCTATTCATTTATGACTTATCGTTCATCTGTGATCTACCCTAATTCCCTATAAGTGTTAAAATCAAGCAGGAACTGTAAACATTAGGTGAATGTTTTTCCATGACATTTTATAGAAATATATTGTCAGCTAATTGTGGACAATTTATTTTCAACTATTATTTTCCTTGAAGTTCTACAAAGTAGGTGTCAAAAACCTGCAAATGTCCCATTTTTGAACTTCATTTTGAAGTCACCTTGCATTTAGCAAAAGCCTACACACATTTCCATTTCCACTTTAGCAAGGGACCCATTTTATGTGAAAATTTGCAAACCATGAGTAATTTCTTCTTTCCACAAAACAGACCCATTTTGAATCTCTAGAATGGCATAGGGAAAACTGGAACATTGAGCATTGTCTCATTTGTGATTACTTTTCCCCACACTTCTAAATAGGCAGTTTACATGTAGGCTGCAAATCATTTAAACAAAAACTGTTATATGGGGCTCCTAAACATGCCAAATACTTAAGATATAATGGTGCAGAGCTGGAGTCCATACAGAACAGTGCTGACATGGGCTACCATTTTGCTATGTGAGAAATTCCCTTGTGTTTTTTGAAGATGATGCCAAAGAATGATGTTGTTTCCTGATTCTGTCCTTTAACCCAACTAACCATGTGCCATGAAACAGTAGAGCCAGAAATGAACAGAATGTGTGTAAAGGGGAGCATCAGGAGGGG